TCATGAAAGCAACCTCTCCCCCTATTTATTACTTATTATGTTATGCTTACTTCACTAAGGCTGCTAATATTACTCTGTTTTCCCAAAAATAAGACATCCCCTGATAATAAACCCAATTGGGCTTTTGAGTGCATGTGCTAAAATAAACCTCCCCTGAAAATAAGCCCTCCCCAAAAATATTTAAAGTGTTAGGGAGACAGAGCTGGAAATTAGGTAAAACAGCAAGAGGAGCCCCGTCTTGCTCCACGCACCCCAAAATAATAAGACCTCCCTAAAAATAAGGCCAAGCGCTTATTTCAGGGTTCAAAAAATATAAGACAGGGTCTTATTTTCGGGGAAACACGGCATTAATTATTTCATTCATCTATACACATCCATACTCAAATATATATGCAGAACAGAGAGATTAAAAGATTTTACTATAAGATTGCAAACTACAGTAATGGGGACAATAAAAATGAGAAAGATTAGGGGGTTGGACTAGAAGACCTCCAACGTCCATCGGTGAAACGTCTGAGGTGGCTCGGGAGTTCATGGCTTCCATGACAGCCATGGACCTGACCCAGTTAATTCATGGTCCTACTCACACAGGAGGACACACTCTGGACTTGGTTTTTGTCTCTGGTCAGTGGTTGAATGGTCTAGATACAGGGGATATAGCCATTGAACCCTTGTCATGGTCAGACCATTCTCTCCTTAGGCTTGACTTTCTGACCGCTACACTCCACCGCAGGGAGGCGGAACCGACCAGGTGGTTCCGCCCCAGGTGCCTGATTGATCCTGATAGGTTCCAAATGGAGCTTGGGCCATTTCCTGAGACTCTGGCTCACGACTCGACAGAAGACCTGGTGGCTGCCTGGGATAGGGCGGCCGCTGGTGCTTTAGATCGAGTCGTGCCTTTGCGGCCTCTGACCCGGCGCCAAACCTGCCCAGCTTCTTGGTTCTCCGAGGAGCTGAGGGAGATGAAGCGCCAGAAAAGACGCCTAGAGAGTAGTTGGAGAGCTAGTCGTTCTGAATTCAACCGAACACTAGTGAGGTCTTATATCAAGACCTACTTAGTAGCGATAAAAGCGGCAAAGTGTAACTACTTTTCCGCTCTTATCGCGTCAGCAGATAACCACCCAGCTGCCCTGTTTAGGGTGACCCGCTCCCTTCTCCACCTGGGAGCGCGGAAGACCCCTTGCAAGGGCGAGCTGAGGATTTTGCGTGTTATCTGCACAATAAAATTGCTCAAATTTGGGAAGGCTTGGACTCTGACTGGGTGGGTTTAGGCGGGATGTCTGAGGTGGGTCTTGAGAATGTTATCTGGGATGAGTTTGACCCTGTGACTCCCGAGGACATGGACAGGTTGCTGGGGAGGTTGAACGCAACCACATGTTTATTGGACCCGTGTCCCTCCTGGCTGGTGCTGGCTACCCAGGAGGTTACACGAGGCTGGCTCCAGAGGATTATTAACGCTTCTTTGAGTTGAGGGTTTCCTGCCCCCTGCCTTGAAAGAGGTGGTGGTGAGGCCCCTCCTCAAGAAGCCCTCTCTGGACCCAGCTGTTTTGGCAAACTACCGTCCAATTTCCAACCTTCGCTTTGTGGTGAAGGTTGTTGAGAGTGTGGTTGCGCGACAGCCCCCGCAGTACCTGGATGAAACTGTCTATCTAGATCCGTTCCAGTCTGGCTTCAGGCCTGGGTACAGCACAGAAACGGCATTGGTCGCATTGGTGGATGATCTTTAGAGGGCTCGGGACAGGGGGTGCTCCTCTGTCCTAGTCCTATTAAATCTCTCAGCGGCTTTTGATACCATCGACCATGGTATCGTGCTGTGCCGGCTGGAGGGATTGGGAGTGGGAGGCATCGTGTTACTGTGTTTCTCCTATCTCTCTGACCGGTCGCAGTCCGTATTGGCAGGGGGGCAGAAGTCGACCTCAAGGCACCTTGTTTGTGGGGTGCTGCAAGGGTTGGTCCTCTCGCCTCTCCTGTTCAACATTCATGTGAAGCTGCTGGGTGAGATCATCCGTGGTTTTAGGGTGCGTTGCCATCTGTACGCTGACAACACTCAGCTGTACATCTCCACCCCAGATCACCCCAATGATGCCCTTGAAGTGATGTCCCGGTGCCTGGAAGCCGTGCAGGTCTGGATGGGGAGGAACAGGCTCCGACTCAACCTTTCCAAGACCAAATGGCTGTGGTTGCCGGCGTCCCGATATAGCCAGCTGGTGCCATCGCTGGTTATTGGGAGCGAGTCATTGGCCCCCACGGAGAGGGCTCGTAACTTGGGCGTCCTCCTGGATGCATGGCTGTCTTTAGAAGACCATATGACGGCCATGGCCAGGGGGGCTTTTTATCAGGTTCGCCTGATACGCCAGTTGCGCCCCTTTCTGGATCGGGACTCCTTATGCATGGTCACTCATGCCCTCGTTACTTCCCACCTGGACTACTGTAATGCTTTCTACATGGGGCTCCCCTTGAGGAGCACCCAGAGGCTCCAACTGATCCAGAATGCAGCCGCGCGGGTGATTATGGGGGCGACATGGTGCTCCCATGTAACACCTCTCCTGCACGAGCTGCACTGGCTTCCGGTGGTCTTCCGGGTGCACTTCAAGGTTTTGGTTCTCACCTTTAAAGCGCTCCATGGCTTAGGGCCTGGATATCTACGAGACCACCTTCTGCCACCGATAACTTCCCACCGGCCAATATGCTCCCACAGAGAGGGTGTCTTCAGGGTGCCGTCAGTCAAGCAATGTCGACTGGCGACCCCCAGGGGGAGAGCCTTCTCTGTGGGGGCACCCGCCCTCTGGAACAAGTTACCCCCAGGGATACAACTGATCCCAGACCTCCATACTTTCCGCCGGGCTCTGAAGACTTTCTTGTTTCAGCGAGCCGGGCTGGCTTAAGATTTTAATTGATTAATTTTATGGGTAAAGGGTTTTAAAATTGGGAAGCCAAATGGATTTAATTATTTGAAAAATTATTTTAATTTTCATACTGTATGTATTTTAACCCTCGCTGTTCACCACCCTGAGTCCTTCGGGAGAAGGGCAGTATAAAAATGTAATAAATAAAATAAATAAATAAAATAAATGTCCCTTCCAATTTGGTTATTCTGTTACTACTACCAGATTTAGGAATCAAATTATGTGTGTGGTATTTATGCATATATTAAAAAGATAATTTGTTAATCTGTGTATATTATGGAAACTGCTAATCCTTAATTTTGATATATTATGATGAAAAAGTATTCTGGTAATGGGGCAAATAGAAATACATAGACAAAAAGCAGTACTGGCATCCTAGTGCTAGGCTATGGAATGTTGTAACTGTTTATTGACTAAATCACAATGCTAGGCCATAAACTAGAAAGGCTACGTACAGTAGTACTTGCTAAATACAGGTAGTACTTGCTTAACATCCATTTGTTCACTGACAGTTCAAAATTATAGCAGTGCTGAATGAAGGAACTCCCAGTCCTCAACGGTTAGGCTATCACAGCAGTTATGTGAACCTGTAGTGGGTTTCAAATCCCGTCGCTACCAGTTCGCTCGTAGATGCGCTCACACACACACGCAACACTTTTGTGCATGCGCAGAGACGTCCAAGCGGGTGGGTGGAGCCTCCTGCCGCTGCCGCTACCACTTTGCCCAATCCGGGGCGAACCAGTAGCAACCCACCACTGATATGAACAATGTAAGGTCGACCTACATTTATGACCACCTTTTGGCTGGCTGCCTGCCTATGTATCTGCTGCCACCAGCTGTTGCTGCCACCTGGTCCTGCCTGCCACACCATATACCACTACAATACCGGATGGAGTCTTCTTTCACTCTGCCTTCTTTCACACTGGTGCAGCAAGGGCCTTCTCTCACACCGGCCAGGCTCTCAGGTTGCACACTGGACAGGTCCTCTATTTCTGTGCCAGCCAGAAGGCCCTTTGAGAAAGAAGGCCCTGCTGCAAGGGTCCTTCTTTTGTGCTGGTGCTTCCAGGGCCTTTTTTCCATGTACCAATTGGGTTCTTCTTCCTTGAAAGAAGGCCCTAATCAACACAGGGCTTAGAAACCCTAGCTAGTGCATCAGAAAAGCCCTGGCTGATGTGAGAGAGAAGGCCCTGGCCGCAACAGTGCTGAAGAAGGCCCTGCCTGGATAGTGCAGTAGTGATGTGTAGAGCAGCAAGCATTGCATAGGACTTGGTGGCAGGGGCAGCTGGCCTCAGTGGGCAGTCAAAAGGGCAGAGATGGGTATCAACCCTGAAGTTGACTGAACTGTGGCCATTTTATTTTGATAGTTTTGTCTTGGGAGGTTTCTCTTCTCATGGCTTCAGGGTTGATACAGCCTGGAGCGAAGGGGCCAGGGAAGGGGCTGTAGAGATAGCTGGGATGTTGTAGCCTAAATAAAATCCTTTACCCTGGGAATCAAGGATGTTGGTATAGGTATTCGAAAGATGGAGACTGAGGTCACCTAGCAACTGGACTGTATGCTGATTGGACCATGTGACTGAAGACTGGGGGGAAGTGACAAAGTTTTTCTTTTAATTGGGTGTAATTGGATTCAAGAGGTGGTGGTATCCTCACCTAATGATCACATGGGATTCAGCAATTGCATTCTGGAACTGCTGTTGCTAACCAGTAGTCATGTGATGTTTCACTTAACCTCAGTGGTTAGTAAAGGAGTTTCCAATCCCACTTAGGATTATTAAGTGAAGACTGCCTGTAAAGACCATATTATACAGTTAGTACCATATGTGAACATCTGAACATAAATTTTCTTAGACCATAAGTGTAACACACACACACACACACACATACATGGTCTTTTAAGCTCTATTAAAAAGTGACATTTATTTTATGTTAAAGATGAGTGCCCACTCCAGAAGATGTGCTGTGAAGCTGCTTAAAAATTACTCATCTTAGTACATTTTTATGATTGATGGTTTTGTGTTATCTCATAGTGATGCTTAGTGTTAATAGAATATACAGTAACAGCTATTTATATAATAATTTTGCCTCTCTCTATAGATGATATGGCAGAACTTCTCCTTGGAGAATCCAAGCTAGAGCTTTTTCTGAAAGTGAACCCTCTAAAACAGGGGGCAAGTCCCTGTGGACCCCGACCAAAATTAATTGAAGTCAGGAAGCATCTCACCGCAGCACTTGATCGTGGAAATTTAAAGGTATTTGTCCTTCCACAGTGATTGTTGAGAATTTGATGTTTGAGCAATATAAGAATAAATAATGTTGCTTTTAAAATATTTAGATTAATCATTTATATAATTGCAATACAGATCTATTTTGTGTATCAAGAGTTCCCAGTTTTTGTTCTTCCAGTTTTACAACACATTAAGTATATATCCCTGTCTTCTGGGATTCCATATGATTTGATTCTATTTAGCAGGATAAATTGTCATTGGAGATAACAGGCTAAAACATATTTATTTTATTAAATTTTATTTTTTTTATGGCTGTGACAGGTAAGGGACAAAAGCTCAAGAAATAAAATCAAGGATAAAGCTATGAAAATGAAATGGTTTCATTTTTTAAAGGCTGGCATTTTCAAAGATACGTAAATTAAATACCAGCAATGAATTCATAATGATGTTTGAGTTTCCTCAGATATTTGGAACTGAAATAAATTAATCTGAAGCTCAGTTTTTGATGGGATTTAATTAATTTCACTTTAAAAAAAAATTAAGGTCCAAGTCTCACCATCTTTTTGATAGCATATAGACTTAGATACCGCCCCACAGTTCTTTACAGCACTCTCTGGGTGCTTTACAATGTCAGTATATTTTCCCCCAACAATCTGGGTCCTTATTTTACCGACCTTGGAGGGATGGAAGGCTGAGTCAAGAGCCCCATCAGGGTTGAACTCCAGGTTGTGGGCAGATTTTGCCTGTAATACTACATTCTAACTACTGCATCACCAGGAACATTATGAGATTATGGTATAGTATGGTATTTGTTTTCTTTATACACTGCCCAGGGTTACATGGTTGAGCAGTATATGAATGATTTAATAAATAACAAAATTATTAGCTTCATGACCCCATTACTTGGTGCTTATTTTTATTAGACTGCAATACTAGTCTTGCTAATGTCCATTTTAAGTCCAAGAAAAATAATGCTAATTTGATTCCTTACGTTAACAGATATTTGACTGCGACTTTGTTGAAATATTAAAATTTATCCAGCTTTTTACGCAGATTCTTATTTCAAAAAACAAAAGCAAAATACAATTTTTATGTTGCAAAGATGTTACTTCTCTTCTTTTTAGCTATAAGCCATCTATTTTTAAAACTATAAAGTTATATGTTAATATTTAAGTGCTACTTTAAAAAATGTTGTTTTAGAAATTATGATCTTAAATTATACTAGTCATTTTTCTTTCTCATAGGCTTTTTGTAGAAATAAAACTGATAATGGGAGTGCAGTTTAAACCATCTTTAGTCTTAAGAGATATAAATATAACATAAATCAATTTAAGGAATAAAGAATGTTAGATTAGTATATCAGGGTGTTTGAAATTCTTTTCTAGGTCCTAGGTTGCCATGAGAACTAGATGGAGTTTTGAATACGATCAATTTTCTAACACTAGAATTTTGCCTGTCGATTAGGAGTTCTAGGAATGTTTCTTTTTAACGAATAGGTTCTGTGGCCTAAAATACTTTTAAAATCCCATGTATGATATTGCCTTGTATCTGATACCTGCTGCTTGCCCTCTTCTTTTTTCTAGCCAGAGTTCTTACAAGAAGCCCATTTAGTTATGGCCAAATTAAATTATATGGAAGGTGATTACAAAGAAGCTCTTAATACATACGCTAAAGTGGGAATTGATGACTTGCAGCTTGCTGCTGTACCTCCTTATCGCTTAAGAATGATTGCTGAAGCATATTCAACCAAAGGTAAGGTGGCTTTCAGTGTAGTTTTGAGTTGCTCTCTCCTTTTATTTATTTATTTCATTTCTCACCATACTGAAACTTGATAGCAAATGTGTTGTTAATTCTGTGACGTAGAGCAAAAGGCATGCAGAAAAGAAAGGAGTGCATTATTAGTTAAGATAAGGCTAGCAAATTTGTTTTAAAAATGCACAATCAAGAACAAATGCTTTTTTAATTTGACCTATACGGTCCATATTAATTCAAAATACACCTACAATTGTTTCTATGCAGAGATATTGTTTATGTGAAAAGTATCATGTTAGAGTTACAAATTATGATGAAATAATTCCTGTCACATAAATTGTACAGTTTGCTTTCTCCACTTTATGCATTTGGCTTTTTCCGTCAAAATGTGAGCTACTGTAACAGGAAGTTTTTAATTGTCTCCAAAGTCTTGCAGAATTCTGATGTCTCATACTTGTGAATGGATTTTTTTTTTTATAATTCCTCTTGTGCTGCAGCCAAGCTAGAAGTTGCCATATTACCTAACACATATTGATGTGGAAATTCTGTGGTCCAAACTTGTTTTCAGAGTGTTTAGAATCTTCAAGTGGAAGTATTCTTATTGAATAAGTTTTTATTTTAAAATATTTTAATAATGTCCTGAAGCTTTCCTACTGCTAAGTATTTGAATACTGTGGAAATCTTGAAAGAAGACAAGTCTTGGAAGAAGACACTGACGAACAGAGTTATTTAAAAAAAATTCACGAATGAGCCTGACTCAAAGGAGTTTTTACAATATTGATCAGTTTTTAGTTGCATGTTATTTATATTTCAGTTAGCTCTTGAAATAAACATGGATGCATTGCTCACAGTGCTCACAGAAATAAGGTAAAGGTAAAGGTTCCCCTCGCACATATGTGCTAGTCATTTCCAACTCTAGGGGGCGGTGCTTATCTCTGTTTCAAAGCCAAAGAGCCCAGCGCTGTCCAAAGACGTCTCCATGGTCATGTGGCAGGCATGACTAACTGCCAAAGGCACACGGAACGCTGTTACCTTCCCACCAAAGTGGTTCCTATTTTTCTACTTGCATTTTTTTTTAAATTTTTTATTGATTTTTCCAAAACAAAAAAGAGAATGTACAATCCATCTCTGCTTTCGAAGGTACAGTGTATTTACAATATAATAAAACAAAAATTGGGAAAAATAAGGCTTCAATCTTAACTATACATGATACTATACAATATGGCTATAGTAGATGTGCCAGGTCAAAATTCTAAAGTCATGTTTTCGTCTTATTTTTAAGCCAGTGGTACCAGATACCCCATACATCATAATATCTTAAGTTGTCCTCATTTTTTAACTCGCCTGACAGTTTCGCCATTTCTGTGCACTCTAAGATCTTATTTATTAGAGTTTCTTCTGAGGGTATAAGTTTGTTTTTCCACCATTTTGCGAAGGCTAATCTAGCCGCTGTTATAATCTGAATTATCAGTTGGGTTTTGTTGTTGTTTAAGCCCTCTTCAGTTATGCCTAGGAGGAAAAGTTCCGGAACTAGGGCTACCTCCTGTCCTGTTATTTCACAGAGCCAATGTTGGATTTTGGACCAGTACTTTTTAGTCTCAGGGCAGGTCCACCATAGGTGATAAAAGGTGCCGACCGATTTTCCACATTTCCAACATATGGGAGAGAGATTTGGGAACATCTTAGCTAGCCTCGCTGGGGCTAGATACCACCTATGTAGCAATTTATAGTGATTTTCCCTAAACGTTGTGGATTTGGTTATTTTGTAGTTTCTATTCCAAGCTATCTCCCAGTCATTGAAATTTAGTCTATGTCCTAGATTTTTTTCCCAGATGTTCAATTGTCTTTTTGCTATGGACTCTGCCTTATCTTCATCTAATAAAAAGTGATAAATTTTGGTTAACATTTTTTTTTCTGGTCCCCAAATAATTTTGTCAAAGTTTCCATGTTTCGCTGCTATTCCGAATTTATCTCTGTCTTTTTGGAATCTTGAGTTGATCCGAATATAGTTCCACCAATCCACACTAAAGCCCTGATCCCTCAATAGCTCCAGCGATTTAAGTTTCCCTTCTTCATCGAGGATGTCCTTATATGTACCCCATTTATAATCATCTCTCCTGTTTGGAGTCGCCAACGATTCCATAATAGAAAGCCAAATGGGTACCTTAGTATAGATCTTCTGTCTAATTTCGTCCCACGTACGAATGAGGGTCTCCCTGATTTTGTGCTTATGGAAATAGGATTTTTTCTTATTCTTTATATCCCAGAGATGGGAGTGCCATCCTTCTAGGAGGTCATGTCCTTCCAAGATCAGGGTTCTCCTATCCTGTAACTTGATCCACTCCTTGATCCAAATTAATTTTGCGGCCTTTTGATATAGTTCCCAGTCAGGGAGCCCAAAGCCTCCCAAATTCCTTTTCCCTTGGAGTATCTTAAAAGAAATCCTTGATTTCTTACCCTCCCACAAAAAATTCCTGATGTATTTGTTCAGGTCCAAAAAGAATTTTTTGTCTAGTGATAGCGGAATATTTTGAAATAGAAACAGAATTTTTGGTAAGATGTTCATTTTGATCGCTGCAATTTTACCCATCAGAGACAATTTGAGCTTTTTCCATCTTTCTAGGTCTTGGTGTGTTTTCTGTAGAAGGGGAATATAATTATCCTCTTTTAGTGAGGAGAATCTCGCGGTAATCCATATTCCCAGGTATTTTATTTTCCTAACTGTCTGGAGGCCTAATGATTCTTCCAATTCTTCCTTTTGTAGATCTGTCATGTTTTTCACTATCATTTTAGTTTTGTTCTTATTAAGTTTTAGGCCCGCCACTTCTCCATACTCCTGGATTTCCTGCAATAATTTTACACCGGATTCTAGTGGGTCTTCCATTATGAGGGCTACGTCGTCCGCGAAAGCTTGGGTTTTAAAGGTTTCGTTCCTAATCTTTAATCCTTTAATCTCTTTGTTGGCTCTTATCTTTCTAAGTAGCACCTCTAGCGCCAAGATATATAGTAAGGGAGATAAAGGGCATCCCTGCCTCACTCCTTTTTGAATCTGAAACAGCTGGGTTCTATCTCCATTCACTAGTATGTTTGCCCTCTGGTTTTTATATATGTTCTCAATCATCTTCCTAAAGTTGGTACCGAATCCCATTAGATCAATTTGATTTATCATAAAGGTCCAATTCAAGTTGTCAAATGCCTTTTGGGCATCAACAAACATTAAAGCCAGCTGTTTTTCGGGATGTTGTTCGTAATATTCAAAGGTGTTTAAGACTATCCTCAAGTTGTCTCTGATCTGTCTCCCTGGGAGAAAGCCATTTTGGTCTTTATGAATCCACAGATTTAAAATTTTTTTGAACCTCTCCGCAATTATATTCATGAACAGTTTATAATCTGCGTTCAGCAATGAGATAGGTCTGTAGTTGGATATCTGTTTCGGATCGGCACCTTCTTTCAGTATAAGCGTCAAATACGCTTCCCTCCACGAATCTGGGATTGTGATACCCGCCAGGGCCTCGTTTAATATTTCTAACAGCTCTAATTTTAAGGTATCATCAAATTTTTGGTATATTTCCCCGGGGAGACCATCTGGGCCTGGAGTTTTATTCTTCTTTATTTTAGAAAGGGCCATTTTTAGTTCCTCTATAGTAATCTTTTCATTTAACCTTTCCTTTTCTTCTTCAGAAATTAGCGGTAGTTTAGCTTCCCACAAATACTGTTCTACCTTGCATGTCGCTATTCCTTCATTTTTGTATAAATCTTCGTAAAACTTTCTTATACTCTCTAATTTATCTTCTTCCTTCGTCAGCAAGTTGCCCTGAGAGTCTTCTAATACTAGTATTTGGTTTTTTTCCTTCTCTTTTTTTAGTTTATACGCCAGCCATCTCCCCGACTTGTTAGCGTTTTCAAAACAATAGTGCTTGGATCTTTTTATTTTCTGTGCCATTTCCTCCTGGTCCAATAAATTCAATCTATGTCTCGTCATCAACCACTGTCGTTTGGACGCCTCATCTCCCGGGCATTGCTGGAGTTTATCTTCTGCTTGCAATAACTTATTAGTGAGCTCTTCTGTGATCTTTCTTTTTTCCTTGTTTTTGAAGGCAGTATATGATATGGCTACCCCTCTCACGTAGGCCTTTATAGTATCCCACACAATTTCTTTGGCTGTCTCTCGATTTCCATTTTCTGTGAAGAAGCGTTTGACTTCTTCATTCAATTTCCGTATAAACTCTTCTTCGTATAGCAACTTAGTCCTTAGACTCCATCTCTGTTGTATTTTCTTTGTATCGTGGTGCCAGCTAATTTCGAGAAACTTATGGTCTGCCCAAACATTTGTGCACATGTTAACCTTTTTAATTTCTAGGCCCAGTTTTCTGGTAGCCCAGACCATATCTATTCTGGACCAGGAGTTGTGTGGCATTGAATAGAAGGTAAATTGTCTATCATGGGGGTGTAAAGTGCGCCACATGTCAATTAGGTTAATCTCTTCCACTAAATCAAAAAAAGTCTTTGGTAAGGGAGATCTTTTATTCTTTTTAGTTATATCACATTTATAATCATATTTAGGGTCTATAATTCCATTAAAATCCCCAACCATACAAATTTCATTGTTTGCCCATTTTGCCAGCTGTTCATGCAATTTCCGATAAAATTTCCCTTGTTTTTTATTCGGGGCATAAACCCCCACCACTAACACCTTAGAATTGCCTCTCGTTATCTCTACTATCAGTATTCTCCCTTTTTCATCTTTATATTTACATTCTGCCTCTATTCCTTTCTTAACATAGATAGCCACCCCCCTTTTTCTTTTCTCGGCTAATGAGAAGAATACTTTACCAAATTTAGTAAAATTTAGATAGTTGGCTTCGTCCTTTTTTATATGGACCTCTTGGATACAGATTATATCAGGATTTTGTTTCGTCAGTTTCGACAATATTATCCTCCTTTTTTTGTAATCATTTAAGCCGTTCACATTGAGCGATAAGATCTTGGTATCGTTCATTTCTGTAGCTATCCTCTAGTCTCTGGTTTTTATTTACCTTTTAGTGTTACCGCTCTCACTGGTCTAGATTTTTTCCCTCTTTCTTCTGTGTCTTCCTTTTTCTTCTCCTCTTATATGTCTTCTCTTGTGATTTGTTCTTGCGATGTCTCTTCTTCCGTATTTAGTACTTCGTTTTCCTCCTTACTGGTTTGTTCCTCTTCACCTTCCCTTAGTTGTTCTAGGAAATCTTGGGCATCACTTACACAATCGATTCTAATTTTCCTCCTACTCTGGTTTCTCTTCAGATCGTATAAATCTTTCGCTTCTACTTGCATTTTTTACGTGCTTTCAAACTGCTAGGTTGGCAGAAGCTGGGATAAGTAATGGGAGCTCACCCCATTACGCGACACTAGGGATTCGAACTGCTGACCTTTCAATCAACAAGCTCAGTGTCTTAGCCACTAAGCCACCGCGTCCTGAGAAATAGAACTGATCAAATTTTCATAGCCACATCCCAGGAAAAATATTCAAAGAGAGTTGATTCTTCTATACTTAATACATATCTTTAGGGATTTCAAAATGTGAAATTAGATAATGATATTTTGGAATACTGCAGTACTGCGTTATCCGAATATTAGTTTCTGCTTTCTTATGGATGTATTTTATTAATATGAACAATATTTACAAGATAAACAAGGTCAAATACTAGGTTTAGTTACCGTAGTTTTGCCTTGATCATGAAATGTGCAATGTTTGTGTAGTTTCTATAGGTGGCAGTGTTGATTAAGGATCAAGATTATTCTTTGGACTTTATGTGCAATATTCTGAAAATGCAGCCCTTTATACTCATTAGAATATAGAATACACTTGGAAGTTTTACTGACAAATGGCATAGTTGATTCTAGAAGAATAATTGTATGGCAGATGTTACATTGTTTTTTCTACAATATACAGAAGTTGTAAACTTCCAGAAGTTACATTTGTTGCAGAAAAACATGCATTATGATAAGCATATTGTGGTGGTGACAGTTTAAGTAGGCAGGTGGAAAATAAAATTATTTTCCTTTTTAAAAAATATCTCTCTGATTTTAAATTCATAAGACATTTTTTTTCTTGAAATAATTATTCAGGTTAGATAAAGAATGGATGGATTCATTCTTCCAGCCAAATTTAGAAAAGTTTTCTAAATCTTTCAAGATTTTATAAAGTAATTGAGACCCATTTTCTTAATATAATTAGGATTTAGACTAATGGATGTGGTGAATGTAGAACTAGTGAGTGAGAACCAATGAATGTGGTGGGGGATCCATGACATCATGAAGATGTGACAGAAGTGGTTTCCTCAACACCTTTTTGTTCATTCATAGGTTTTTGCTGTAACTGTGCTTGTGTTGGTTTAGGAGCTGCCTGTGCTTCCTCTAGAGACCTGTGCCAAAAACCTTGATATCTGTTGCACCATTCCATATGTCAGGAGCAAATCTGTCTATCCTGCTTCTGTGCTTTTCTTTTATAGTGGCACTCTCGACTTTTTTTAAAGCGGTTTTTTAGCAGTTTAGCAACTTTATTAGCTACTGCTAATAAGATTGTATTTAATGTATTTTCTTATTGGTACTAATAACTGGAATAACATCATAATTGCTCTGCTTGAGCTGTTTTTCTCCATTGTTCTTCCAAATTTAAGATGCCACCAACGTCTCGTTGCATATTATTTTATAATTTAAATACACTGATGTCAGTTACTTCTCTCATTTCATTTAAAAGTGTTGCTGTGATATTTTTAAAAAAACTTATTTTCTTAACAAACATTTATTTATATACCCAAATGTTCTTCCTAAAACATCTTAAGCGTACAAATTTTTTATTTGTTTAATTATATAAAATACAAAGAAAAAATAGAAATAGAAAATTAAGGGGAGATAAAGGAGGGAAAAAAGTGTGACATACAAGGGGGAGGGGGGAAGAAAAGAAAGAAAAAAAAGAAAAAAAATATTCCTAAAACATCTTGTACCATTCTTGGTAACATCTTAATGTGTTGTTGGAATCCAGCTGGCCCCCTTAAATTCCTGAGAACAAATGTACCCCTGCATCTGTTGAAATAATTTGTTATATATGTAGGTGTTTGATTCTTAACCTATTTATGAGCATTTGTAACATAAAATAGCCCTTAATTAGCTTTAGCATTTGATTATCTTTTGTCCATTTTAATTATTGTTGTTCAGTTACTAAGTCATGCCCAACCCTTTGCGACCCCATTGGGCCAAAGCATGCCAGCCCCCCTCATCCTCCACTGTCTATTGGAGTCTGCCCAAACTCATGTCCACTGTGTCGATGACACTGTCTAACTGTCTCATCCTATGCCATTCCCTTCTCCTATTGCCTTTAATCTTTTCAAACATCAGGCTCTTTTCCACTGAATCCTCTCTTCTCATTTGGCAGCCAAAGTATTGGAGCTTCAGCTTCAGTATCTGTTCTTCAGATACTGAAAGTAAAGGGGTGATTTCCTTTAGAATTGATTGATTTGATCTCCTTGCAGTCCAATGGACTCTAAAGAATCTTCAACAGCACAATTCAGAAGGATAAATTCTTCTGCACTCAGCCTTCCTTATGGTCCAACTCTCACAGCCATACCTTTCTAACTTTTATCCTTTAGTACTGTCCATGGTGTTTCTTTGGCAAGGTACTAGAGTGGGTTGTCATTTCCTTCTCTATCTTAGGTGGCCCTGTGTCTCTTAGCTCATAGTTTCTTTGAGCTACTAAAGCCATTTTTGCACAACAAGGCAATGATCCATGAAAGGAATCCATTTTAGTAGGGGATCCAAAATAGTTTATTAAGTTAAACTTACTTGAAATAAATAAAAAAGAGGAAACAAAAATCCTTTGAAATATCTCTAAACCTATAACTGAAGAAGGTGATATGAACACTTTCTTATTCTTCTTAAAAAGTATCCCAAATATTTTAAGCAGTTGTAGGAATGTTTTGCAAATCTGTTAGCATAAGAGGATTAAAATTATATGTAAAATCCTGATTGGGTTGCCAGTTCTGGACTTCTTTCATTGTTTTCTTTTCTTTCTTCTAATCTCTCCTTTGAAGCTAATAAATATTGTGTGATAGAATTTACCATAGACCTATTTAATTGTATTTTTAGATATGATCTGTATATTCATGAATCTCACTACATATTTTCTCACCACATTTACAATTATGGCTTCTCAGTTACATACAACAGAATTTTCAGATATAATGCACATTTAGTTGTTGTACTGTTTTCAGTATTTGATGAATGAAAAGAGATTGATTTAGTCCCAAGTTATTTTCTTAAATTGTCTTTCCTTTAGGTCTTTGTCTAGAAAAATTACCAATATCCTCTTCAACAAGCAACCTCCATGCAGACCGTGAACAGGAAATTATAATGTGCTATGAAAAGGCTGGGGATATAGCCCTTCTGTATCTCCAGGAAATAGAAAGGGTAAGATGGGATAGGTAATCTCAACAAAATAACTAATTTTTATTTTTTATTTTACTTTTTCTCTTTCCTGGGATTATTCCCATCTACTATATATGGCTTTAAATTTTTTTTTAAAGATTCAACAATTTATTATTTGGTTTAAATAACCCATTCTATATATAGATTATTTTAACTAATCCCAGTTAAAAAACAGAAACATCAATTTTTTTTATCTGTTCTAATGTTTTACATGCCATAATAGGGTACCCGTTATTTCTTTGAACTGAATAGCCCCCATGAATGGCTGATTTCAGGCATTCTAGATGAAAATAGTCCATCACTTGCTATTGAGAATTGTATGACTCTTTATCCCTGTTTTAAGAAAATAACTTTTCTGCACAAAATGCAGAAAAACTTCTCTAAATAGAATTCACATGATAAAAACAGTTTTCCCTATGATATTCTCAAGTTTTCTTTGGTAATGTGCTAACTTTGTTCGTAATGAAATTTATTATACTAATTTGTTACTAAAAATTCAGATTGCTGCTACAAGAAGCATTAAATCATTTTTTTTCTCAGCTTTTGCCATAGCAGTTGCAACTTATATAGTAATAACACTTGGTGCTATTACAGCCCTCTCTAAGCGGTTTACAGAGTTCAGCATATTGCCCCCAACAATCTGGGTCCTCATTTTACCCACCTCGGAAGGATGGAAGGCTGAGTCAACCTTGAGTCTGATGAGATTCAAATTTGCCAATTATTTGGAACTTGCCAAATATGAACATTTAATGATGGGGGGATTGTTATTTCCATTCATAATATTTGTCTATATCCAAATAAGGCAACTTTTTTACAAACCAATGAAATGCAATAATAAATTATAATAAAATAATAGATTATAATGAAACATATAACATCACGAGCATTATAAACAAAACCAACAAAACCAGCCAGATTTTCTTACCATTTTTAGTCATAGTTTCCCATTCTAATATGTTTATTTAGGTTTGAGTTTCATTTCAGGAAAACTTTACAATTTTCATGATAGAGCTAAAAATTAATAAATTGTGGTTAGTAGTTACCTATCTTCCTTTAAAGGTTATTTGATATTTAACTGATTCTAGGTGAAAAGCAATAGTGGACAATATTGTTAAAGAGTTTGAAGTTTATTTATTTACCGCATTTGTATATCATATTTCTCTGCAAAAACACAGCAATTATTTGTAAAACTAAACAGGGATAATTGAAGGAACAGAGCCTCTTTACCCACAAAAAAACTATTTATTTTGGAATGATCAAGGTTTATTAGCATTTGTGGGATGAATTTTCATTAAAAAATTGGGATAAAATTGGCAGTGGTATGATTGTATAAGTGAATGGATGCCAAAAACACTCACTCAGTTTTTGATGGTTTGAGATGATTGAAAAGGTGAAATTTGTACAGTGGTCCTTGAAAGTTTTTAATATGCCATTTTAGTTCTTTATTTTAGCAAAACCAAAAAGCCATAATCAAGATAAAAGTCAAAAAATGCCTGACAATCAAGAGCTAATTTTAGGTGCTACAAAATAGTTACTGGAGGTCTTCACATAGGCTACATATTGCCAACCACTGAGAAATATATTTATGCTCCACAAATAAACCAACGTTATTATAAACTGTGTACCCACCTGTATTTCTTAATGTACAAGATGGGCATGAAGATTGCTTATGTTGATAAAGAAAGCTTGCTTACATGATAGCCCTTCTATTCAGTGCGGCAATGTAGAGAATGTTCTGTCTCTGCCTCCCACTGGTGAAGGAAGAGATCATTTGGGGGAATTTATTCATTTATTTCTGTGATCTCCTAGGTAATAATGGCCAATATGCAGAACAGAAGTCCTAAGCCTGGGCCTGGAATACATGAACAAGAACTTGGATATTTTTTAGAAACTGGACTTCAGAGGGCCCATGTCTTATACTTCAAAAATGGGTAAGATTTAATTGTATATTCTTCCGATATAATTTTAAGAGTATTAACCAAAATGATTTAGAAAAACCTTGGGTTTTGTTGTAAGAATACACACGAATTAGCAATAGTGCAATATTCTAATCCAAAGAGAGAAAAATGTGTTTCGGATCTGATGTTGGTGTACCTTTTATCTATTAGTAGCCCCATAAAGTCAAGAATACCTTAATCATTCCTTAATTTAAACAGGTATTTTCCTGAGCCTGTGTGGCTACTTAGGAAAGAGAAGAAAAGGTGCAACTGTTTAGAGAAGTTGCTGACAGGTATAGTGAATGAACCTATCCCAAATCTAAACCACTGTTTCCACTTTAAATCAGAATGTTGCATACCTTTGCAAAATACATATGTTTTTGTACGTACTATCTTGTACTTAATAATTTATTATTCAATATATTTTCTGGGAGTATGTTATAAATTGTATTTTAACTTTTCTCAGCATTGTGTTGAAGCTTTAATAATAAAGAGTCCTAGTCACATAGCCCTGTTATTTTTAAGTTTTTCCAAACTTTTCATCTGGCACTTATTTTAACATTGTGTTTTATGTTAAATATTCAATAGATTGATGATGCATTTCACCCCTGACTTGGGCTCAGCCCAGTCATCTTTTACAGTTAATTGTTTATCTGATTTTATAGACTCCTTTATTAGTCTTTTAACGCAGTGTCTTTAACTCTACTGTCATTATTTAATCAGATGAAAAAGAGAATAATAAAATTTTATTTTTCCAATATCACAGTGGTAAAGTGGGGTGAAAGGGAGGGAGTGTGCTCATACAGTATTCTATGTTTTTAAAGGAAAGTATAGGTAGAATCAATAGAATTTTGCATAGTAAAAATAAATGATTGTAATTGTTTAACTCATCAAACTTAAATCCAGATTGCATACAATATTAGTTTATTTAAATGATAGTGTAATGTAGTACAAGATTAGGTTTGGTAAGTTAAACGGTACAGTAAGGCTGTGCAGGAATCCAGAATTGAAGAAGAAAAGATGATTTAATTGCACAGATCATAAAAAAGGTCTGTTTTTGTCACAGTGAACAAGTGTTAATACAGTAATATTAGAATTGTGTGTTAAGGATGAAATTTAACAAAGTTTAGCTTTGTTGTGGGCATAACATAACATCAAATTTATATCTTTTTTGGCATCATGGCATCATTAGTGATGCCTGAAAAATTAAGGTAATAGCTAACTTCATGAGAATGAAGTCACAATCCCTGTTGACATTGCTTATATTTGGATCATGTCATGTATCTCTAAATATATCTGCAGACTGCTTCTCTATTTTCACTTGAATAAGCTTTTCTGGAAAATGAATAACCAGGAGATGTTTAGTTTGGGTGTTTTATGGGAACTCTTTTCCTGCTATATCTCTGACTAATATCTCAGAAAATAGACGCTTTTTAGTCTGATCTGGTAAAACTGGAGTAGTACTCAAAATATAGTTCAAGTGTTTTAAGCAAGAAGAACTTTGGATTGTTTGACCAAGTGTAATAGATTACTCATGCTAAGGAATTATTAGATATTAGTTTTTCAGAAATCAAATTTTAATATATACATATAGGGAAATAGAAATTGAGTTGTTGAAGTTTCCCAAGAATAAATGGGGAAAATATTGAAGATAATTTGTAAATGCTTATACGTTTAAACAGACACGGAGTAAAAGGACAAATTCTAGTGAAAATTTAAAAAAATAAAAATGCTAATATTGCAAGCTTTCATATATCTGAACTAGAATGTCCTGAACTAGATCCCTGCTGAGTTCAGTGTGACTTCCACAAGTGACTGGCTTGAGTTAAATTTTAAATTGATTTTAAATTGGGTTGTTTTAATTTACGGCCAAAATATTTAATTATTTTAAACTGTTTTTAAATTTTGTATGTTCTGTTTTTTTACTTTGGCTGTTCACCGCCCTGAGTCCTATTTGGAGAAGGGCGGTATAGAAATAGGAACAAATAAATAAAAATAAATAAATAAATAAAGTACATATGGGACTTAAAAAGACAAAATATTGCCATTTTTTTTATGAATATTGGAGAAAGGGGCAGGATTCCATAGGTGATAACCAACTAGAAGCCCCCAAATTATTTAGATATATGAAAATAGAATAAGATCCCTCACTAGGCATATGCTTATGTCTAAAGAGAAATATTAGTTGAATTAGACTTGGCTAAAAAAACTTTTATAGATAATTAAGAGTTCTAAGAGAAGGGTTGCTTTCATCTTGTTTCCTGTATAGTTCACTTATCCATCTCTTCTCTTCTCTCTCTCCATCTCTCTCTCTCTCTCTCTCCCTCCCTCCCTCCCTCCCCCCTCCCTCCCTTCCTCTCCCCCCCTCTGTTTCAGAGTTCATTAGAGTGAACTTGATTGTTGATCAAGTTGATTGTTACTAATATGCCAGGTTCAATGTAGTGATACATGATTATTTTGATACAGTATATTGTGTTGATTTATATGTTTATGATATTTTAATTAGTGTAAAATTAAATGTAATAATATAATAGTAATACAATTGTTATTGTAAGCTGGTCAGAATTGTGGGAATTGCACCATATTGAAATGTTTGTGAATAGATAAATAAACAAGCAATGTCTCTATTACCTTACCTCCCCCTCCACTGGCAAATAAAAACCTTTGATCCAAGGCAGCTGTAAGTGGACATACAAAATAATAGTAAAATCTTACTTTCCAAAACCTTCCAGTATTTAAAACTAATATTATGACTGTAAGGAAGTTAATGAACAGGATTTATACTAATCAAAAATATAGATAGCTGCTACTATACAAGAATGATATGAATTTTTAAAAAAGCACAAATGGGCTTTATTTCAGTGACTTATTACTAGGACTAACTAAACACCATTTACAGTTTAATGTTACTAAAAATTTTCAGTTGATTTTCGGCACTTTTAGAAGTATGGTAAACCCTCGATTTTACAAGTCTTCATTTAGTAGATTTCATATGAAGCGAACAAAATCTGAATTCAAACCCTTCCCTGATAAAGTCAATGGTTGCTGCTTCTGTGCATGTGCAAACAAGCATTATACTTCATGATATTAGTGGCATTCTTCATGTCTTTCATATGTGCTAATGTTTGGGATACTGCTTTTTATAAGGTTCTGTAAGTTTTTTTGTAAATATTTGGTAATTGCTTTATTTAATCAATGATGGCTGCAAAGGGAGGCAAGGAGAAAAAAAAGATCCCACCTCTCAATGTAATAACTTTTATTGATTCCTTATCTGATCTTGAAGTCCAGCCTTATTACCCCCACTTCCATACTTTTAGGAATATAATCATACAGAAGCAGCAACTTCCAAGACTCAGTTAAAATTGGATACTTTCTTGAAATCAATCAGTCATCCTATATCATCCCTGAAACCCAGCACATCTGCAGCAAACAGCCACCAGTAAGGTAAGTTTTCTCACATACACACATTTGGGGTATTTAAAAAAATCAAATTTAATGGACATTCAGCTTTAGCCAACATCCATCCTACCAGGTAACTATAAAATCGAGGGTTTACTGTATTTTTTTTTTCTTTATCTTCTATAGGTGCTGACTTAAGTACAACCATTTGAAACCTTGCATGCATTCATTCATTAGTAAATTTGCAGAGACATCTTATGAGCCCAACTTTTAAACTCTTTTAATTATAATAAAAATATTTTTGTGGTTGTAAAAAACCGCTTGGAGTGGGCTGTAAAGCATTTCACAGACTGTAAAGCACTGTGAAGCGGTATATAAGTCTAAATGTTATTGCTAGCAATTAGCAATATACACAAATTCTGTGTATACACAACAATTGGAAAATATACACAATAAACACCATAATACTGGTGTGGTTTTTGTTACTTTAAGAACTGTAACATGACAGGCCTAATGAGTAAGGTACAATTTTTAAAAGATAAGAGTTCAACATATCGACATTTGCTCTTCCTCTTGACTCAGTTAAGTCAGCTCTCAATAGTTTTTGGCTTATCCTGGCTTGTCACAGTCTCAGCGGGGGGGGGGGGGGGGGGGGGGGATGTCTTGATTGTTGGATGTCAGTGCTGCTGTTTATAGCAACTTGTGGCTCCACTAGATATTAGTGTTGAGAATATGTTTTAAGACCTGCTTGTTTCTGATTACGCGTCTCAATATTGTTAAACAACCCACTAAAACCTTGAAAATGCAGTATTTCCTAGGTAAGTGGGAGGGGGGAAGCCTTAGACCAGTGGTTCTCAACCTTCCTAATGCCGCGACCCTTTAATACAGTTCCTCATGTGGTGGTGACCCCCAACCATAAAATTATTCCTAAAACCATTGAAAATATGTGTTTTCCGATGGTCTTAGGCGACCCCTGTGAAAGGGTCGTTCAACCCCCAAAGGGGTCGCGACCCACAGGTTGAGAACCACTGCCTTAGAAGAAACATGGAGTGGCAATTTCCCATTCCAAACCATATGATTTTATGGGGCTTGCTTCAAAAATGACTATGAAATTCCTTTGGTAGAAAATACAGCAAGTGACAGGCATTTCTGGAAAGTGACACCTGTTTTTCAACTGCATTAGTTGCTAACTCTAGTGCTGCCTGCTGATTGCTTGTGACCATCTCTTGATGCTGCTGGATGCTGGTATTGCTTGCAGATGGTCCATAGTTATGTCTCGGTCACTTCCCTGATTGTACCCCTCTAGTGCTGGCACATTTTTGGCACCTTTGTTTCTCTGATAGTGTACAAGAAGAGGGCACATGGGTCAGGATTGGACATTGATTAAGCCGTGTAGTTAGAGATTGGAAAGAATAATCTTCCAGAATACAATATACAAAAAAAACCTATTTTAATTTTTTTTATTTTTATTACTTTATCAGCGCACTCAACCAGAAATACAATGTATACAGGAAGTTCTTTTAAAGTATTAAATGGGTGGGTTTTCTTAGATCGGAAAAGTATCAGATTGCTCACATAATTATTTTTCTCAAAAT